AGACCCCATCTCTACAAAAAAATAAAAATAGCCAGGCACAGTGTTGTGTGTCTGTAGTCCCAGCTATTTGGGAGGCTGAGGTGAAAGAATTGCTTAAGCCCGAGAGGTCAAGGCTGCAGTGAGCCATCATCTCATCACACAGTCCAGTCTGGGCAACAGAGTAATACACTATCTCAAAAAAAAGAAAAATTGACTGGAAATGTCCATCAATACAGATTAAATTATGGTACACTTTTCTGGTAGAGAACCATGTAACAACTATTAAAAATGAGATTACAGGCGGGGCTCAGTAGCTCATAGCTGCAGTTCCAGCACTTTGGGAGGCTGAGATGGGCGGATCACGAGGTCAGGAGTTAGACCAGCCCGGCCAACATGGTGAAATCCCCATTTCTACTAAAAACACAAAAGTAGCTGGTCATGGTAGCGTGCGTCTGTAATCCCAGCTGCTCAGTCAGGAGGCTGAGGCAGGAGAATTGCTTGAACCTGGGAGGCGGGGTTGCAGCCAGCTGAGATGGTGACACTGCAGTCCAGCCTGGGCAATAAGCAAGACTCCATATCAAAATAAATAAATAAATAAATAAATTTAAAAATAAATAAAAATGAGATTATAGCTGTATATACTAATTTTTGAAATAGGTTAACTGAAGAAAGCCAGGAGTAAAATCATGTATACAGTGTATTACCATGAAAATAAAGGAAAAAAGAGAATCTACATATACCCACATGTGTGCCTCTGTATGAATAGACTGTCTCTGAAGGAGCATACAAGCTTAGGTGGTTGCCTCTTGGGAAGGCAATTGGAAGGAGAGATACTTCATTATATACCTTTTGCAGTATTTGAATTTTTTCATTACTCCACATGAAATGAATAAATTTCAGTGCATGTGTATATATATATATGGATGGATGGTAAAATAGTGAAATATTTCATTCACATAAACATTAGAGTTTAAACTTAAATAAAACAATTAGGATCTTCAAAACAAGTTCTTTCATTTTGAATATTTCTCAGTTGAACTATATATGTTCTAAAATTTTATAGTAGCATTTTTTTCAGAGCATTTGATTTCATTTGTATAAAATGGATGAAATCCTTGCTGTCACTTAGAGTGGGATATGCTTTTTCAACTCTGATTTCTAGTGCCTGGCATCTAGTTAGAGCGCAATAAATTTTTATTGTACTGAATTATCCTTCTTTTCATAACTAAGTTTCTTTTATCAAGACAGAATCATTTCTTTCCATTCCCAGATTAGCATTAGTTACTGACATTTGCCGTACATTGTATTTTTCTATTCCAAATTAGTATTAATGATTTTGCCAAGAAGTAGCCATATCAAATAAATAAATTTCTTCTTTGTATTTTTAATCATTGAGATTATATAATTATGCTGTCACTGAGAAGTAATTTAATTCTATTATATATGCAGACTTTCTAAAGAAGATAAAGCTTTTTTATGGGAGAAACGTTATTATTGCTTCAAATACCCCAATTGTCTTCCTAAAATATTAGCGAGTACCCCAAACTGGAAGTGGGCTAATCTTGCCAAAACTTACTCATTGCTTCACCAGTGGCCTCCATTGTACCCATTAACAGCATTGGAACTTCTTGATTCAAAGTAAGTAAAATACATCTATTTGCTCTTGTTTTATTATTAGTTTTTCCAGTAAAGTATGTTGTCAGGAGTATTTACTTTCCTTTTAACATGAAAGCAATTCAATATAATCCAAAAGTTTTAATGTATATTTATACAAACATATCTTCTGCATTGAAGTTGTCGATAAAGCATTTCATGTCATTTAAAACTAGCCTAAAGAATGGGTTAGGTTGTAAATTTTGAATAATTTATATTTTTATGATGTGGGCCGAAATTAATTTTCATAAATTTAAGATTCCTAAATAATCCCCAAATTGAATCTGTATAGCACAATAAGATTATCATCTTACAAAAAGAAAAAAAACACGTTGCTTTTGAATAAAAGAGATATCTTACTGTTCCTTTTCAGGAACAGATTGAGATTGTTTTCAGGAACTATAGTTTCACTGGAAAGAACTCACTGTCAAATCTAGGTTTTGTGGTATTCTTCTAGATTTGCTGATCAGGAAGTAAGATCTCTAGCCGTGACCTGGATTGAGGCTATTAGTGATGATGAGCTAACAGATCTTCTTCCACAGTTTGTACAAGTGAGTTTTTTTGTTTACTAGATAACCTCCCTTTACACTTTCTCTCTAGTTTTTGATGGGAACTTACCTAGGTATCCCCCTTCTGTTTAGATTACAAGTAGTTTTTTAGTGTGGGAACATTGATGGACATTGCATTTGGATTTAGTGTGAATTTTTTCTCACTATTGTCATCTGCCCCATTTGAATATTGTATGTAGGTAACTATATTTTTAGTTTTCAGACTTTTTAGAACAAACTAGACTTGAGCTTTTCCTTGATTCTTATTTACTGGTGAGTTCAACATAGCTAATGATAGTTATTCATTCTATACTTTTGTGCTTGATTTCATTAATTTGGCATAATTCATTTGTTTCTGTTTCATTTTTATAAGTGTCATCTTTCATCAGTAAGAGTAATACTTGCTTTATATAGTTTCTCTTTTGATAGTTTTGTTGGAACAATTTAGTATGGGTTTGACCATTAATAATTCTTACCTTCTTTTATGTGTAGGCTTTGAAATATGAAATTTACTTGAATAGTTCATTAGTGCACTTCCTTCTGTCCAGGGCATTGGGAAATATCCAGATAGCACACAATTTATATTGGTAAGATTTAAATTTTATTAATTACTGTATTTCCATTCCTAAAATTTATAGAATTGGCATACTCTATATATAAATGGCATGCCACACTACTTATTGTGAATACCAGATGTTTTATTGAAGGCATATTTTAAAGGAGCTAAATATACTCTCTATTGCAAAAATTTGGTATCTTATAGCTCTATCATAATGCGTGGGTTTTCATTTGCTTATATAGCTTAAAATAAATTTCTGGTCATCAAAAATTGAGATGTGGTGGCTCATGCCTATAATCCCAGCACTTTGGGAGGCCAGAGCTAGTAGATCACTTGAGCTCAGTATTTTGAGACCAGCCTGAGCAACATGGTGAAACCTCATCTCTACCAAAAATACAAAAAATTAGCCAAGTGGGGTGGTGTGTGCCTGTGGTCCCAGCTAGTTGGGATGCTGAGGTGGGAGGATTGCTCGAGCCAGGGAAGTAAAGGTTGCAGTGAGCCAGGATCACGCCACTGGACTCCAGCCTGGGTGACAGAGGCAGACCTGGTCTCAAAAATAAACAGAAAAAAAAATTGGACTTGTTATTTTTCAGGGAGATTCACTGATTCACCCAGTTCTCAGAAGTGACTAACATAAATATTTTGCTGTATTAGGCTTCTCAAAGATGCCCTGCATGATGTACACTTTAGTACCCGATACGAACACGTTTTGGGTGCTCTCCTCTCAGTAGGAGGAAAACGACTTAGAAAAGAACTTCTAAAGCAGGCGAAGCTTGTACAGCTGTTAGGAGGAGCAGCAGAAAAAGTAAGGCAGGCTAGTGGATCAGCCAGACAGGTATGTACCCATAAAAGGTAATATAAATGTGTTAATGTTAAAGAAGGATCTTTATGGTACTGACTAATTAAGTAGCCACTCTATTGGTAGACTCCCAATGGAACTCTAACTATACCCATGCTATTTGGGGCAGATAAATTCAAAGATTGTTTAAAATACATAGGAAAATATTTCACAACCTATTAAAATCAATGATTTTTCCCATGCTTATTTATTCCTTTCTGATCAAAATTGATTTTTTTGAATTCATTTACCTACACTATCAAAGTCCATAGTATTTTCATCACACCAAAAAGAAAGCATGTTACCATTTCCCCCTCCTCCCAGCCACTAAACCGTTTTGTTTCTATATGGATACTTCTATACTTCTATATGGATATTCTGGACACTTCATGGCCTTTTCTATCTAGTTTCTTTCACTTAGCATAAAGTTTTCAGAGATCATCTATGTTCTAGCATGTTGATTACCTGCCGTTTTTGGTTGAATAATGTTTCATTGTATGGATAGTCCATATTTTGTTTATCCGTTCATCTATTGGTGGACATTTGAGTTGTTTCCACTTTTTGACTATTAAGAATAATGGTGCTAGAATATTCATATATAAATTTTTGTTTAAACAACTCTTTTCACTTAGGAATGGCATTGCTAGGTCATATGGTAGTTCTGTGCTTAACTTTTTGGGGAATCATAGAATTATTATCTGTAGCAGCTATATCATTTTATATTCCCACCAGCAATACAGAAGGGTTCCAGTTCTCCACATTCTCACCCATATTGTTTTTTTCTGTTGTTTATTATAGCCATTCTAGTGGTTGTGAAGTTAGTATCTCATTGTGGTTTTGATTTGGATTTCCCTAGTAACTAATAATACTGAGGACATTCACATGTGTTTGTTGGCCATTTGTATTTCTTATTTGGAGAAATATCTATTCAGAGTCCTTTGCCCATTTTAAATTAGACTGTCTTTTTGTTGTTGTGTTGTAAGAGTTATTTATATATTTCCAATACTAGACCTTTATAAAATACATTATTTGCAAGTATTTTTTTCATTCTGCAGTTGTCTTTTTACTTCATTGATAGCGTCCTTTAATATATTAATACAAAAATGTTTAAGTTTGATGAAGTCCAGTTTATCTATTTTTTTCTTTTGTGGCTCATGCTTTTAGTGTCATATGTAAGAATCCATCATCAAATCTAATACCATAAATATGTACACTTGTGTTTTCTTTGAAGTGTTTCTAGTTTTAGCTCTTATGTTTAGGGCTTTGATCCATTTTGAATTAATTTTAGTATGTGGTATGAAATAGAGGTTCAACTTCATTCTTCTGAATTAGGTTATCCAGTTGTCTTAGCACCATTTGTTAAAGTGACCCCCTCCTTCCTCTTGAATGGTTTTGGCATACTTGTCAAGTATTAGTTGATGCTGTGCTTGCTTCGGCAGCACATATACTGAAATTTGAATGATACAGAGAAGATTAGCATGGCCCTTACACAAGGATGACATACAGATTCATAAAGTGTTCCATTAAAAATTTTTTTAATAAAAAAAATTTAGTTGACCACACATATGGGTTTATTTCTAGACTCTCAATTCTATTTCATTCATCTGTTTGTCTGTCCATATGCTATACATTTTTTTTTTTCTTCCCCTTGAGATGAGGTCTCTCTCTGTTGCCCAGGTTCGAGAACAGTGGTGTGATCACAGATCACCACAGCTCCAACCTCTTGGGCTTAAGTGATCCTCCCGCTTCAGCCTCCCAAGTAGCTGGGACCACAGGTGTTTGCCACCATGCCTGGCTAATTTTATTTTTGTTTTTTCTTGTAGGGACAGGGTTTTGCCATGTTGCCCAGGCTGGTCTTGAACTCTTGGGCTCAAGCAGTCCTCCCATTTTGGCCTCCCACAATCCTGGGATTACAGGTGTGAACCATCACACCCAGCCTATACTTTTTTGATTACCATAGTTTTAAAGTAAGTTTTGAAATTGGACAATGTGAGTCCTCCTACTTTATTCTTTTCTTTTATTCTTTATTCTTTTTCAAGATTATTTTGGCTGTTCAGGGGACACTTGCAATTTCATGAATTTTAGGATCCGTGTGTCCATTTCTGCAAAAAGGCAGTTGGAATTTTGATAAGAACTATAGATTAATTTGGGGAAATGTTACATACAATCTTAATTATAAACTGTTACCTCTATATACATTGTTTACCTATTTTCCCTTTACCAAACAATGCTTCCATGAACTTTGGTTGGTATGCACATTTTTACTTCTTTGCTAGTATTTCTTTACAGGAAATTCCTATAGATGAAATAGCTGAATCAAGAGCCACATATATTTTTAGTTATAATAGTTGTTACATTCCTCTACAAAAGAAACTACGCCTACATACACCTCTTTCCCTACCAATGGATTATGAAATTGTTTCCTAACACTGGATGTTGTTTTAAATTTTAATCTGATAAATGAAAAGATGCATTCATTTTTGTTTGGTTTCTATTTCTTTGATTATTAGTGAACTTTAAATTTTTATATGCATTGGTTGGCCAAATGTACGTTTGCCCCCTATATTTATAGCCTTTGACCATTCCAGTTTTATAGTAAAAATTAACTCTCTTTAGCAACAACCTTTTTTTGACCATTTGACAACTGAGTATTTTATAAATTGTATCCACAGCATAACTTGTCTGAAAAATAGATCTTTATTTTCATTATGTACTTAACAGTATCACATCTCTTTCTATAGGTTGTTCTCCAAAGAAGTATGGAACGAGTACAGTCCTTTTTTCAGAAAAATAAATGCCGTCTCCCTCTCAAGCCAAGTCTAGTGGCAAAAGAATTAAATATTAAGGTGACACATATCATACTTATAAGTTCATATTACATTTGAAAGTAATAGGAAGAAGGCAGTGGGCAGGTATGCTTAAGGCAAATGAAGGTAAAACCTGTAAAGGTGCCGGGCGCGGTGGCTCAAGCCTGTAATCCCAGCACTTTGGTAGGCCAAGGCGGGTGGATCACGAGGTCAAGTGATCGAGACCATCCTGGTCGACATGGTGAAACCCCATCTCTACTAAAAATACAAAAAATTAGCTGGGCATGGTGGCACATGCTTGTAATCCCAGCTACTCAGGAGGCTGAGGCAGAATTGCCTGAACCCAGGAGGCGGAGGTTGCAGTGAGCTGAGATTGCGCCATTGCACTCCAGCCTGGGTAACAAGAGCGAAACTCTGTCTCAAAAAAAAACAAACAAAAACAAAACAAAAACCTGTAGAGGTTTATTATAAGCATGGATGGTTGTGATTAGGATCCATATGTATCTTAGCATATTTTTTACCTAACCAGGATCCATATGTATCTTAGCATATTTTTTACCTAACCACCACTTTCTGAAAAAAAAAAAAAAAAAAAAGTATAAAATTATTTACTGCCTTGGGCTTCATTTTTTTAAATTGGTCTCACTGTCTTAAATTAGCTTTTTAGTCACTTTTATTTTAAAAGTAAGATTTGATCTTTACTAATGAAATTTTAAAAGTTTTGTCAGTACTTCTATGGCTAATTAAAATAGTACATAAACAGAAGAAGTGGAGATCTCATCTCAGATCAAAGTGATTTAGAAGATGGAAAAGCGTATCACAAGACTTTGTGTTCTGTTGATGGATTGAGATTTTTACAAAGCTCAAACTTTAAAAGTTTGTGTCTTAAGGTTTTGCTTCTCTGCCTAGTGAGATGATATTTTAAGTTTCAAAAAGTATTTTTGTATATTGTATATCTGTTATCTGCCAGAGAGCTAATTCTCAATTAGCCGAGCATAATGGAAGGCACCTGTAATCCCAGCTACTCAGGAGACTGAGGGAGGAGAATCACTTGAACCCAGTAGGCAGAGGTTGCAGTGAGCCAAGATCATACTACTGCACTCCAGCCTAGGCAACAAGAACAAAACTCTGTCTCAAAAAAATAAATAAAATGAAAAAGCAATTCTCGTGGTATTTCATTTGCTGTAATTCAAAAAAAACAAGCGTTTAGTTGGGTGCGATGGTACATACTGTAGTCCCAGTTACTCAGGAGACTGAGGCAGGAGGATAACTTGAGCCCAGGAGTTAAAGGTTGTGGGAAGCTATGATTGCACCACTGCATTCCAGCCTGAGTAACAGAGCAAGACCCTGTCTCTTACAGAAATAAAAATTAAAAATAAATTTAAAAACAAGACACAAAGGAACAAGTGAAAGGGGAGATGCCTGGGACAAAAAAATTTCTAAATTAATTTTTATTTATGTTATCTTTCTAATGCTTAACATGTATTTGCAGTCCTGTTCCTTCTTCAGTTCCAATGCTGTCCCCCTAAAAGTCACAATGGTGAATGCTGACCCTATGGGAGAAGAAATTAATGTCATGTTTAAGGTGAGTAAATAATGTTACTATTTTTTTTAATGGCAATTTAGAAATTGTATTATCAAATTACTTTTCAAAATTGCAAAGGTGATTTTATTTATTTAATATTTTTAAAATTATTTTATTTTATTTTATTTTTGAGCCAGAGTCTTGCTCTCACACTCAGGCTGGAGTACAGTGGTGCGGTCTTGGCTCACTGCAACCTCCGCTTCCTGAGTTCAAGCAGTTCTCCTGCCTCAGCCTCCAAGTAGCTGAGATTACAGGCACCTGCCACCATGCCCGACTAATTTTTGTATTTGTAATAGAGACTAAAAATGCATGTGTTGGCCAGGCTGGTCTTGAACTCCTAACCTCAGGTGATCTGCCCACCTCGGCCTCACAAAGTGCTGGGATTACAGGCATGGGCCACTGTACCTGGCCAAAAATTTTATGTGTTTTGATCATGATTTGTATATTTTGAAAGGAAGAAGAATTTTAGTTAATTCAACGTGTTGGATATGTGGAGGTTCATAAAGATTGCTTCTTCTGAACCACCTTTGATATATGTGATAAATTCCTGTGTACTCAGATCTGGTTTTGAACTCTATATTTTGTTTTATTGATGTAGGTGCCTTTTCCTAAACTGGTGACATCTGTTTTGAATACAGGAATTTTATGTGTTAAGTATTTATTAATTTATTTATTTGAGATGGAGTTTTGCTCTTGTTGCCCAGGCTGGAGTACAATGGCGTGATCTCAGCTTACTGCGACCTCTGCCTCCCAGGTTCAAGTGATTCTCCTGCCTCAGCCTACCAAGTAGCTGGGGTTTCAGACATGTGCCACCACACCTGGCTAATTTTTTTTGTATTTTTAGTAGAGACATGGTTTCACCATCTTGGCCAGGCTGTTGTCAAACTCCTGACCTCAGGTGATTCACTCACCTCAGCCTCCCAAAGTGCTGGGTTTATAGGCGTGAGCCACCATGCCTGGCCAAGTTTTAATATTTTTTTAGGCAAGTTCTCCTTACTCTGTTCTATAATTTTCTTTGCTAGTCTCAGAATATATTCATTGTTTGCATTTTTAAATGATTTTATTCAGTTTAAAAAAAAATGAAAACTTGTTCAGGTTTTATTAAAAAATAATTCATTTTGGGAGAGTTAATTTTTTTTAAGTAAACTTTTCATTATATGATAATTATAGATTCATAGGCAATTGTAACTGTACAGAGAAATCCTATGTACTCTGCTTCATAGTAACATCTTGTATAACTGTAGTGTAGTATCACAATCAGGGTGTTGGCATTGATACAGCCAAAATACAGAACATTTCATCATCACAAAGATTCTCCATGTTGCTTTTTTAAAAAGTTGAATATAAGCTGGGTACAGTGGCACATACCTGTAATCCCAGCACTTTGGGAGGCTGAGGCAGGCAGATCACCTGAGATCTGGAGTTTGAGATCAGCCTTGCCAATGTGGTGAAACCCCATCTGTACTAAAAATACAAAAATTAGCCTGGTGTGGTGGCGGGCAGCTATAATCCCAGCTACTCTGGAAGCTGAGGCAGGAGAATTGCTTAAACTTGGGATGCCAAGGTTGCAGTGAGCCAAGACCCTGCCTCTGCACTCCAGCCTGGGCGATAGAGCGAGACTCAGTCTCAAAAAATAAATAAAAATAAAGAATTGAATATAATTCACATAACATAAAAGTAAAGCATTTAAAGTATACACTTCAGGGAACCGAGACATGAAGAGGTTAAGTATCTTTCCCTAGAATGCTGCAGAAAAATAATAAGGCAGTTCTGTTCATCTTACAGGCCTGTGCCACCATGCCCAACTAATTTTTGTGTTTTTAGTAGAGGTGGGGTTTTGCCATGCTGGCCAGACTGATCTCAAACTCCTGACCTCAGGTGATCCACCTACTTCGGCCTCCCAAAGTGCTGGGATTATAGGCGTGAGCCACCGTGTCCAGCCAGCTTTCATAGTATGTAGTCTATTAAGTCTTTTGGAAATGTACAAGTTTCATTTTGTTTCCTTGATTTCAAGGTTGGTGAAGATCTTCGGCAAGATATGTTAGCTTTACAGATGATAAAGATTATGGATAAGATCTGGCTTAAAGAAGGACTAGATCTGAGGATGGTAATTTTCAAATGTCTCTCAACTGGCAGAGATCGA